AGATAGATAGATAGATAGATAGATAGATAGATAGATAGATAGATAGATAGAGATAGATAAGTAGGTAGGTAGGTAGGCAGGCAGGCAGGTAAACAGACAGACAGACAGACACACACACACATACACACACAGATACATAGATAGATAGGCAGGCAGGCAGGTAGACAGACAGACAGATGGATGGATATGTATATTATTTATATTTATATGTATATTATTACTCTGCATGAGGACTACGGGACGTGAGGGCCTACATTCACATACATAGTTTGCATATGCATTGTACGCACATACACACCTACCAAAAAGAAAGAAATAATCTTTTAATAAATAATGCTGGCCACTGACAGCATAGAAGCTGGGATAGGAGGTTCCAATCTCAATCCACAGAAAAGTTCCTTACATTTAGAGAGTTTAGAGGGGAGGTGTCTCAGATTAGAAGGAAGGGCTCTTTGACTCTGGCAGGTTAGTGACGTTATTAGGTAAGATATAAGGCAGTGATTTTGGCAGTGAACTATATTGTTTTACCTGTCTTTTTTTGTTTGTTTGTTTTGTTTTGTTTGTTTTGTTTTGTTTTTTCGAGACAGTTTCTCTTTATAGCCCGGGCTGTCCTGGAACTCACTCTGTAGACCAGGCTGGCCTCGAACTCAGAAATCCACCTGCCTCTGCCTCCCAAGTGCTGGGATTAAAGGCGTGCACCACCACTGCTCCGCCAAAATGCTATTCTTAATTTGCCTGCAAAGTTAACCCTTTACTAGCATTAGAAAATAGAATTTGAAAAGCAGTGCCCTGTTCTCTAATTTGTAAGCTTGTTTATTGTACATAAATTGTCTGAACATAGAAAAAGAGCTGCTTTCCTTCAAGGAGTCTGTAATTTTGTCACATCCTAGGCAGACACAAGGAAAATCCAGGGAAGAGTCTTTATCGTTAACAATCTTCTTATTAGACTATATCTCACATGATGTTCTGTGCAGTGCTGCTGTGACAGGTTCCTTAAAAGCTTGTGTCTAGCCAGACATGGTGGCACAAATTTGTAATCCCAGCACTGGGGAGGCAGAAGCAAAGTAGATCTCTGTGAATTTGAGACCAGTCTTGTCTACAGTTTCCAAGACCAGAAGGAGCTGTGTAATGGGATTCGGTCTCAAAAAAATAAATAAATAAAATAAAACAAACAAATAAATAAAAAACAACAACACCAAAACTTGTGTCTGGTTTTCTTTAGACGTAGATCCATGTGCCGTTCCCTCTGCAGATTTTGATTGGTATCTGTTTTTATAAATTTCAACCGTTAGTAGAACTATGTTGACTTGTGAGTCTTTCTAGTAAATCATTGTAGTCCACACAGGTGGGCTACCAAATTTCTTAAAAATTGAATTTATAATAAGAATTTTTAATTTGGGGTTTTGTAGGAAAGTAAAAATGAAGTATGTCTTTCATTTTAGAGAAGTAACTGAAGTTCGAGAAGTCCCCAGAAAATCAGCTCCTCGTAATTCCTTAGAAAGTGCTGAGTATATTAAAGTCATAACAGGGTTATTAAATGCAAAAGACTTTCGTGATCGTATTAATGGAATTAAACAACTTTTATCAGACACTGAAAACAATCAAGAGCTTGTTGTAGGCAACATTGTGAAGGTAAGAACCTCAAAGTTCATCTTGTTAGGCATTGTGATGTGTGTGTTATATGTATGTATGTATGTATTTATGTGCACGCATGTATGTTCAGAGTCCTATCCATATGTGGAATTCACACATGAGACCCAAGGATCGAATTCAGATCCTTGGCCTTGGCATCATGGCCCTTCAAGATTACTTTTCATTTGTATTCTACAGCCAATAAAAAACAACTAAAAAAAAACCAGTGTAGTAAATTGTCCAAATCCATGGAACTTTATGTGCGTTATTTTAAACTAAGTTTGTCAGTTATGGATCACATAGGATTTGACATGCTGTGGCAGCTAAAATGTAGTAGAAAAACATGAAAATGGTCATGGAGGGGACTGGAAAGCTAGCTCTGCAGTTCAGAGTGCTCGTTCTTCCAAAGGACCTGAGTTGGCTTCTCAGTACCCACTTCTGACAGCGCATAGCTGCCTGAGACTCCAAAACCTTTGAGGGAACCTGTTTATGTGCACATACCCAGGAGCACACATATACAAAAATAAAAATTTTAAAAAGAAAAGAGTCAATGTTTCCCTGAAACATCCTGGTAACATATTGGTAAGCTACTAGTATTTTGAGAGTTCTCAGTCTGGCTTCAGAAAATATATGTTGAGAGACTCAGCACATACTCTAAACAAGTGACAATTTAAGAAACTTAGTATGGCTGGGCAGTGGTGGCTCACGCCTTTAATCCCAGCACTTGAAAGGCAGAGGCAGGCAGATTTCTGAGTTCGAGAGTTCGAGGCTAGCCTGGTCTACAGAGTGAGTTCCAGGACAGCCAGGGCTACACAGAGAAACCCTGTCTCAAAAAAACCAAACCAAAAAAAAAAAAAGAAAAAGAAAAAAAAGAAAAATTAAAAGTAAGTAAGGATGCTTCTCAGCCATTCCAGTTTCCTCAGTTGAGAATTCTTTGTTTAGTTCTGCTCCCCATTTTTTTAGTAGGGTTATTTGGTTCTCTGGAGTCTAACTTCTTAAGTTCTTTGTAAATATTGGATATTTGCCCTCTATCAGATGTAAGATTGGTAAAGATCTTTTCCCAATCTGTTGGTTGCCATTTTGTCCTATTGACAGTGTCCTTTGCCTTACAGAAGCTTTGCAATTTTATGAGGTCCATTTTTCTTTCTTGATCTTAGAGCATAAGCCATTGATGTTCTGTTCAGGAACTTCTGCCCTGTGCTCCTGTGTTCCAGGCTTTCCCCTACTTTCTCTTCTATAAGATTCAGTGCATCTGGTTTTATGTAGAGTCCCTTGATCCGCTTGGACTTGAGCTTTGTATAGGGAGATAAGAATGGATTGATTTGCATTCTTCTACATGTTGACCACCAGTTGAACCAGCACCATTTTTTTTTTAAAATACTGTTTTTTTTCCACTGGATGGTTTCAGCTCCTTTGTCAAAGATCAAGTGACCATAGGTGTGTGGGTTCATTTCTGGGTCTTCAATTCTATTCCATTGATCTTCCTGCCTGTCTCTGTACCAATACCATGTAGTTTTTATCACTATTGCTCTGTAGTACAGCTTGAGGTCAGGGATGGTGATTCCCCTAGAAGTTCTGTTACTGTTGAGAGTAGTTTTCAATATCCTGGGTTTTTTGTTATTCAAAATAAATTTGAGATTTATTCTTTCTAACTCTATGAAGAATTGAGCTGGAATTTTGATGGGGATTGCATTGAATCTGTAGATTACTTTCAGCAAGATGGCCATTTTTACTATATTAATCCTGCCAATTCACGAGCATGGGAGATCTTTCCATCTTCTGAGGTCTTCTTCGATTTCTTTCTTCAGAGACTTGAAGTTCTTTTTATACAGTTCTTTCACTTGTTTGGTTAGAGTCACACCAAGGTATTTTGTATTCTTTGTGACTATTGTGATAGGTGTTGTTTACCTAATTTCTTTCTTAGCCCGTTTAATTTTATCCTTTGAGTATAGGAAGGCTACTGATTTGTTTGAGTTAATTTTATATCCAGTGGTCCTTGGGCCTGATGGTGTTGGATGCCCCAGTGTAGGGAAATGCCAGGCCAGGAAGACAGGAGTAGGTTGGTGAGTAGGGGAGCACCCTCGCAGAGACAGGGAGTGGGGGGATGGAATAGGGGGTATCTGAAGGGGAGATCTGGAAAGAGGAAAACAATTGAAATGTAAATAAAGAATATATCCACTAAAAAAAGTAGAGATATAATAATAAACCAAAAAGTCACAGTTAAAAAAAAGAAGTAAGTGTAAGGAATGATTAGTTAATGGCCTTAGCTTCATAGAGTAGCTCCTTGATTGCCTGACTTAAAGCTTTCTTAACATTCATTATATTGTGTGTGGAGATTATGAAAGTTAAGAAATCTGAAGAGAAAGGGATAATTGTTAAGTATTGTATTAAAAACTAAAACATTGGGCTGGAGAGATGGCTCAGTGGTTAAGAGCACTGATTGCTCTTCCAAAGGTCCTGAGTTCAATTCCCAGCAACCACATCGTGGCTCACAACCATCTGGAATGGAATCAGTTGCCCTCTTCTGGTGTGTCTGAAGACAGCAACAATGTATTCACATATATTAAATAAATAAATAAATAGATAAATAAATAAATAAATAAATCTTAAGAACATGTGGCCGGCCAGGTGATGGTGGGACTTGTCTTTAAAACAAGCAAGCAAACAAACAAACAAAACCTAAGACATTATTCTGAGAAGGCTGTGGATATAGAATGCTTGCCTAAAGCACACAAAGGTTAGCTATCCAGCACCACATAAGCCAGAGTATAGTCCATGCCTGCAGTTCTAGGTCATCTCTAGCTTCATGCTGAGTTCAAGAGCAGCCTGGAGAACTGAGCACTGAAAGACATAGGCACTGGATGGAAATGCAGCTTAGTGAGGGAACACTTAGCTAGCATGGAAACATGAGGCCTTGGCTTTGATGCTTACTGTAATTCAGGGGCAGGAGGCGACATTCCATGTAGTTGTAACAAATTAAACTAAAGTTATATAAAGTATCTACAGTAACATTTCTTCATCTTCTGTTCTGAATAAAGATAGAGAAAATTTCTCCAAGTTCTTAGCATCAGATGAGGTTGATCTGCATCTTCTAGCTAACAGCACATTAGTCATGTTCACAGGGGCATCGAGCCATATTTGTAACCTTCATTAAAACATGTTTTAGAGTAAGTTGTTACTACTTGTAAAATTTAAAGTTAACAAATGAAAGTTTCTATTTTCTAAGTTCAATTTAAATAGTGTGTGTGTGTATATGTGTATGTGTGTGTGTACAGAGTAAAGCAGAAATGAAATTGCAAATGGAAAATACAATAGGATAAACATTGTTTTACTTTAAGTAATTTACCAATTTATTTCTAGATTTTTGATGCTTTTAAGTCTCGACTTCATGATTCTAATAGCAAGGTGAATCTGGTGGCTCTAGAAACAATGCATAAAATGATTCCTTTACTTAGAGACAACTTGTCTCCTATAATCAATATGCTGATTCCAGCGATTGTGGATAACAACCTGAATTCCAAGAACCCAGGCATCTATGCTGCAGCCACAAATGTTGTTCATGCACTGAGTCAACATGTAGGTAAGGAATCCTAAATTGATACTCAAGTTTTTTTGATGTAGCTTTCATGCTTTCTGATTCTATGTATTTGTATATGTTGAAATAAGTACTATTTTTCATTTAATATATATCTAAAATTTTTTTGATAAATTAAGTGATGAAATTTTTAAATTGATTATTTTTTCATTGAGTGCTTATTTTTTTAACCTCATATTCATGAGATTAAAATGGATTATAGATTTAAATATAAAATAGTACATGCTTTTGGGACATAACATGGAAATTATGTCAGGATATTAGAATGTAATAAAGCTTTAAAAATCATTCTGAAAGAATGATCCATGCATGTCAATAAACTCGACTTCTGTAACTTAATTGTTGCATGCACCTCCATTTTCATTTTTTTTTTTTCTAGAGACAGGGTTTCTTTCTTGGCTGTCCTGGAATTTACTCTGTAGACTAGACTGGCTCTGAACTCCGTCCGCCTCTGCCTCCTGGGTGCTGGGATTAAAGGCGTGCACCATACCACCTGGCTTGATTCTTTCCTATAATTATGTGAGATGTAATCTTTCAATGCAAAAGGCTTGTCAGTACTGTCTGTATAGAATCTTTTGAAATGTGAGTCTGGAAGGAGAAAAGTGAAGGGAGAAATTGTGTAGTTATAATAAAAAAAATAGTTTTCTCAAAATATCATTAAATGTAAACTACTTCTCTATAAAAAAGTTTTCTTGTTTTATAATAAAGCCACAATCATTTGAGACTGAGATGTCCAGATGCCCTGTGGTAGCTTCTTTAATGTCTTACGTATATTTTTGTTTCATCTTTACCTGTTACTTACAGAAAGCTATAAGTAGGGATTAAGCATGTGGGCTTCTTAAGTTATTCCATTTACATTGTTGAAATTGTTTCTTTTTCCTGATACTGCTATTTAGTCAGAATTATTGATATCTCATTCTTAGACATGATTCTTTTTTCTTTATTTTAGACAATTACTTGCTTCTACAGCCATTTTGCACAAAAGCTCAGTTTCTAAATGGAAAAGCAAAACAAGATATGACAGAAAAGCTTGCTGGTAAAATAGCTTTACATAATAAATTCTTTCCTTCTTTCTTTCATTTTTTCTTTCTTTCCTTTTTTTTTTTTTTGTTATTGTTTTCTTTTGTTTGTGGAGTCAGGGTTTTTCTTTGTAGCCCTGGCTGTCCTGGAACTTCCTCTGTAGACCAAGATGTCCTTGAACTCAGAGATCCACCTGCCTCTGCCTTCTGAGTGCTGGGATTAAAGCACTGTCACCACTGCCTGGTCCAAAGTAATAATTTCTAAAGTAATGTACTTTTAATATGAATTTTTATTGAGATATATTCATTGTACCTAGCATAGGTTTTATGTAAAGATATTTTTATACAAAATATATCATATACATTGACTATATGTCAATGTTTATGATGACAATCACCAGGTATGTTCATTTTCCTGTAAATGATATTAAAAATAAATTGATGGTGTTTCCATTTAATTAATTATAGCTGTCAATTCAATATGACTGCTGTACAGAGTAGAAATAAGTTGTGTAATAGTCTATAAAAGAACCTTTTAATACATGTACTCCAAAATATTCTTTAAAATAATTCTAGGACTGAGGTTGTAGTTCTATAATAGATTGCTTGCTTAGCAGTCCTAAACATCCGGGTTTGACGCCCAACACTGGAATATTTAAAGAGGAGAGGGGAGAGGCTGGAGAGATGATTCAAGTGGTTAAAAACACTGACTGCTCTTCCAGAGGTCCTGAGTTCAATACCCAGAAACCACATGGTGGCTCACAACCATCTGTAATGGGATCTGATGCCCTCTTCTGGTGTGTCTGAAGACAGCTACGGTGTACTCATAAATAAAATAAATAATTATTTTAAAAAAAAAAAGAAGAGAGGGGAAAGGAAGAGAAAGAAGTCTGTCCTTTGTTAAACAAACATTACAGTCAATGTGATTGCTCACGGATAAAGGAGGATTCAGTTTTTTGTTTGTTTGATGAAAGGACCCTGAGTTGAGCTCTATACATTGTATTTACTTGTAGTTGGAAAATGCTGAGATATTTGGCATTTGTTTTGTTTTGTTTTGTTTTTCAGGCCTAACATTTTAGAACAAGTAGCTCAGGGCAGAAGCCCATATTTCAGATACTTGTTATTTAACAGACCCTGAGTTTGCACTGGGGAAGTTGCTTATGTTTTCTGACTGTTGCTCGTGTTTTCTGACTGTTGCTCATGTTTTCTGTTCCAGATATTGTTATGGAGCTTTATCAAAGGAAGCCTCACGCCACAGAACAGAAAGTGCTGGTGGTCTTGTGGCACCTCTTAGGGAATATGACACACAGTGGCTCCCTGCTGGGAGCTGGTGGAAATATACGAACAGCCACAGCTAAATTATCAAAAGCACTTTTTGCACAGATGGGTCAGAATCTATTAAATCAGGCTGCATCTCAACCGCCACATATCAAAAGACGCTTAGAGGAATTACTTGATGTGACAGTTTTAAGTGAATTATGAGGTTTTGATGAACTAGTTATGATGAACAGTTTACGTGATGACAGATGAAATCTTTTTAAAGTTACGTTTTTATTTTGAGTGCCTGAATTTCATGTCCAGTAAATTAAGTCACGGGCTATGTTTATTTTGCAGCCTACCTGTGAGTATAGATCTGTCCTTATAGCCATCACATGAAAATCTAAAATAATGAATATAAACTAATATGAAATATAAACTGATATGAAATCCATGGCACCTGGGATGAACTAAATTTTAAATATTTTTGGGAAAAATTCTGCTCATTTGCACTATTCTATAGAAACTGCAATTTATTGCCCCATATGTACAATTAGATTTGTAATTAAAAATATACTTTTTATTATGTAATCATGTTCTGCTATGTCTCATTACTCTGTCTTGTTTTATGAAGTGGAAGAAATGTCATTTAACTGTTATCACAAAATAAGTTTTGTGTGCTGTTTGTGAATAACATGTTTTTTAATCAGTCTGCTAATATGATTATGCAGTATTAGCTTCCTATAGCTGCTGTGTTACTGATATATATATATATATATATTTGCTAAACTTTCGGGTTGAATCATCTGCACAATTGTGAAGTTCAAGAGTTGTAATAAAGCATGACGACCAAAGCTCAGAAGACACTAAACATTTGGATGCACGTTCGAGAGACGTGTTGAATGTAACTTTATTTTTGTGTGCAAACACTAAATTTTTAATTTGTGTATGTCTGTCCATTTATAAAGGTATTATTTTGCTGCCCAGTTGTGTAATTCTCCAAAATAGTGCCAGGTCTTCTATAGTTTTTCTCAGAATTCTTGGGCTTACAAGTACTGTATGCATCTTAAAGAAGAAAAGGAATGTTTGAAATAAAAGGATTTATTTCTGTAGATGTGTGACAGCTGTCCTATTTTTGTAACTCACGTATGTTAAAGTGAAGACAAGCTGTACTACTGACTTATTCTCTTACACCACGGGCTTTGTCACTGCAATCTACAAGCAGATCCGCGCCATCATTCTTTTTTTTTTTTTTGGTTTTTCGAGACAGGGTTTCTCTGTGTAGCTCTGGCTGTCCTGGAACTCACAGGGTAGTCCAGGCTGGCCTCGAACTCAGAAATCCGCCTGCCTCTGCCTCCCAAGTGCTGGGATTAAAGGCGTGCGCCACCACGGCCCGGCCCGCGCCATCATTCTTGACGTACCGGAGATTCGCTACATGGACATGTCAGGCTAGTCTCTTTCCCCTGGTTTCTGAGAGCTAGGCTAGATACATTTTAAGGTCTTATCTCATCCTAACATTCTGATTCTCTGCTTTTCTTTTTTTACTTCATGAGTTAATGAGTTTGCAGTTTCTGTGGCCGCCTCTGGGGAGGGTGTGAGCCATGGGAAGAACCCAGAGGCTTACTGATCGTAAGTGTGCACTGCACCCCAGCCGGCTGTCTGCCTGTTTCTAAAGTACTGCCTTTTGTGTGTATTTGTGAGTTTTGAGGAAACAGACAGAACAACGTATTTTGATCCTATTTGAAGGTGAGAGGACAGTGACAATTTATCATTACTTTATAATTACATAGACCTCATATTTTCTTATAGGTAGACTATAGGCCTCTAAGTTTAGGTTTATAATTGACAGATTTTTTTTAAATAGGGTCATAAAATAAATATTTTTAAGGAACTCAGAAGATAAAACTTCTAGATTCACGTTACAGTCTTATACTAATTCTGTAACCAAGAATATATTCTAATAATTGCAGCTTGCATAAGCAAGGAGATATTTATTGCATATGTTTATGGAGTACAACTTGATGCTCTCCTATGAATACATTATAGGATGACAGCACATGTTTCTTTGTGGTAAGGACACTTACCATCTCCTCTTACACAGTTTGCAAATATATGTTATCTTACTGTTAATCACAATCATTATGATTATACAACAGATATACAGAATTAATTCCAAATAAAACTTAGTGTCTTAAATATATTCCCCACTAGTCCTGATGACCCCTACTTCCTTGAATTCAACCATTTTAGGTTATACATTAGATCACCTTAAATTAGACACTTGATTATGTTAGTGCCTGTTCCTGTTTCATTTCACTTTGCATAATGTTCTCCACTTACACCCAACCTGCTGCAAATGACAGGGTTGCATTTTATTCCTGAAGAGCATTCCCTTTTTGTATATATCATGCTTTCTTGATCCATTGAAAGATACTTACTTAGATGTCTCAGGGTTACTATTGCTGTGATTAAATACCATGCCCAAAAGCAAGTTGGAAAGGGTTTGTTTGGCTTACATTCCCACATTGTAGTTCATCATTGAAAGAAGTCAGGACAGGAATTCAAATAGGACTAGAACCTGGAGGCAGGAGCTGATGCAGAGTCCATGGAGGAGTGCTGCTTACTGGCTTGATCCTCCATGTCTTGCTCACCTTGTTCTCTTATAGAACCCAGGGCCACCAGTCCAAGGGTGGCAACACCCACAGTGGGTTGGGCTCTGCCATGTCAATCACTAAGAAAATGCCCTACAGGTTTTAGTATAGCCTGACATAATGGAGACATTTTAATTGTGGATCCCTTGGCTGTCTTTAACTTTTGTCAAGCTGACATAAAACTGTCTAGTACTAGGCCGGGCAGTGGTGGCGCACGCCCTTAATCCCAGCACTTGGGAGGCAGAGACAGGCGGATTTCTGAGTTCGAGGCCAGCCTGGTCTATGGAGTGAGTTCCAGGACAGCCAGGGCTACACAGAGAAACCCTGTCTCGAAAAAAAAAAAGAAAAAAGAAAAAAAGACTGTCCAGTTTCTGTCATATTTCTTCTCCAGTGAATACTTTAATGAATATGGACATGAAGAAATCTTATTGTGTCAATTTACTGTGTCAATTTCTTTTCCTTTTGCTGTATAGCCATGCATAATTAAATAGTCAGAGCATCATGTACTTACTCTTATTTTTTTTTTTAATTTCAATTTCGTTTATCATACTGAATGCATAACTTAAATTTTCACCAACAAGATACAAGGTTTCTTTTCTCCACTTCCTTCCTCACACTCTTTGTCTTTGGGGAAAAGAATCCTAACGGGACTAGTGTGAGATCTCATTGTGGGTTTTGTAGCTGTTGTTTTTGTTGTTGTCTACTTGTTTGATTTTTAACATAGGATCTAGCCTTAAGTCATGAGCCTCTAGCCAATCCCTCCATAGTGTTGAATTTACAAGTATAAACCACAACACTACACCTGACTCTCCATGTTTTTAAAATGTATTGTTTTGGTGATTAGTGATGTTGGACATAATTGTTCGCATGCCTTTTGGCCAATTACTTGTCTTTTTAAAATTAGACTCTGCGTGTGTGTGTGTGTGTGTGTGTGTGTGTGTGTTATAGGTGTGTACAAGCACGGGATCAACAGCATGTGTGTGGAGGTCAGAGGACAACTTGCAGGAATCAATATTCTCCTCCTGTTATGAGAACTCAGTGAATTGAATTCAGGTTCCCAGGATGAATGGCAAACACCTCACTTCTGACCCATCTTGCCTTTCTATTTGTGTTTATTTGCTATTTGAGTCATGTGCACATTTTTGAAATAGGGTTCTTTGTTTTCTTGCTATTTTTTTTTTGTTCCCTATGAAAGTTTCATGCTAAGTGAAATAAGCCAGACTGAGAAAGGAAACTACATGATCTCACACTGAAGGAAAAAACATAACCAAAACCCCAAAATGCAACCATAGAGAATAAAGCAGACAGGATGGGATTGTCAGTTAGGAAATCAGTGGCTGTAAGGCTGAAAGTGTGAAATAGCAGATACATATTTGGAATAAAGGTGAATATCCAATCTACAACAAAAGTATAGCTAATAGTACGATGGTAAATTATGTGGGATTCCTGTTGAATGAATATACTTTGGCTGTTTCTGCCCCACACCCTCCCTCCCACACACACGATGTGAGGTGATGGGTATGTTGTTAATTTGCCATAGAACCACTTTGCTACCAGTGAGTCTCATAATATGCTTGGAAGGAAAGAGAAGGTGGTATAGAGAAAGAAAAGAAAAAGGTCTTCCCAAATGCAGAGATTACAGAACTGTACCATTGTACTTGGGCAGTGCTATGTTTTAAAAGCATAAAAAGAAACCTTGTACTGAATAGTCCCAAAAGAACCATTTTGCTCTTTTACCAGTCTAGATTTTTCAAAAGTAGATGGAATACCAAAATCAGAATTTGAGGACTGTAATGGCTATTCCTGGTTGTCAACTTGACTATGTCTGGAATGAATGACAATCCAGAATTGGAGGGCTCACCTGTGATCCAGATCTCAAGGCTGGGAGACACAAGTTTCTGACCTTGATCTTGGCACGGAGATCTTGAGGCATACTGGCCATAAAAAGCTTAGGCCCAGGCAAGGTAGTACACGCCTTTAATTCTAGGAGAGTAAGGCTAGGAGATCTCTGAGTTCAAGGCAAGCCTGGAACAAAGCAAGTTCCAAATCCATGTGTAGTGGCACACATCTTTAATCTGGGCCACATCTTCTTCTGGAGGTCTACTTAAGGACATTGGAAGAATGTCTTCTTCGCCTGCTTGCATTTACTTGCCAGCACATCTGTTGGAACCTACTTCTACAGAAGACCTGCTGAAAACAACTAGCCTCATGGGACTGAGCAACTACTAGATTCTTGGACTTCTCATTCACAGCTGGCCACTGTTAGGGTAGTTGGATTACAGACTATAAGCTATCACAATAATTTCCTCAATATAGAGACATTCCATAAGTTTTGTGACTCTAGAGAACCCTGACTAACTAATATAAGGAATTACTGTTTGCAAAGGCAGGCTTTAGGGAAACCCGGAATCTGAAAGCAGCAGCAGATGATATGGACAGGGACACTTTTTATCAGACCTAAGACCCCTAAATAGAGAATGTTAAATGAATACCCCAAATTTACTCCTTCATGCCATTTAGACAAGGACAACTGACCAGATCCAACAGTAGCCTGGGAACAAGGGAATTCACTGTATGTAAGGGTCAGTCTCCAGAGAACAGAGCAGCTGGCACAGAATTGATCAAGAGGAGTAAATGTATTCAGTATCATAACAGTAGCAAAATTACAGTTATGAAGGTGCAATAAAATAACTTTATGTCTGGGTCATCACATGAGGAACTGTATTAAGGAGTCTCTACATTAGAAAAGTTGAGAACTCTTAGATCATGAACCACAGTATTTTTGTCTAACACTTCTTCATTATACTTATAGATTTTTTATATACAATTTATTTTAGGATAAAATATGGCTCGATCGGTTTTTGTTATTGTTGTTGGTTTTGTTTTGTTTTGGTTTGGTTTTGGTTTTTGGTTTTTCGAGACAGGGTTTCTCTGTGTAGCCCTGGCGGTCCTGGAACTCACTCTGTAGACCAGGCTGGCCTCGAACTCAGAAATCCGCCTGCCTCTGCCTCCCAAGTGCTGGGATTACAGGCGTGAGCCACCACCTCCCGGCTTCGATCGGTTTTTAAAGTGGTTTATGTGACTTTCTTTTTGTTGCTGCTGATGCTGTTTTGAGTTTCATGTAGCCTAGGCTCACCTCAAACTCAAGCAGTTGATTACCTCAAACTTCTTTTTTTTTTTTTTGGTTTTTTCGAGACAGGGTTTCTCTGTGTAGCCCTGGCTGTCCTGGAACTCACACTGTAGACCAGGCTGGCCTCGAACTCAGAAATCTACCTGCCTCTGCCTCCGAAGTGCTGGGATTAAAGGGTACCTCAAACTTCTGATTCTTCTGATGCTACCGAAGCCTGATTATAGACATACACAATGATTCCTGGGTAATTTATGTTTTCAGTGATGATGAACACACTTTAGGCAAATAAAATAGAATACATAAGAATGCTAGAGCAGTGAATTATGAAGAGTTTGGGAAGGTAAAACCGTGGAGAAAGTTGATGTGATTGTTAAAGACTCCCTCTTCTGGGCCTAAAATCAGCCATAGGCCTAAAATCAGCAATAGGCCTGTCATACATGTATACTAACACCAAGTCTTATACTAACACCAAGGGTCTCTGTAGAAAAACATTGAAACAGAGGGTTATAAGCTATTGCAAACAGGCAGCTTTCGTGGAAATTTACAAGCCTTAGTAGTCATAGTCCTTGTAAATAGGTAAATACCAACTTAGATAAGGACAAGTGAATCATAGGCAGAGTCATAGTGATCTGTCCCCAGCCAATACCCTGTTCTGAAAGATATCTGTATTTCCCCTGAACACCCACACTCCAGTGTCATCCTCTTCCCCACGTTATGCCTTTCTGTGTTTATAACCCCTGTGTGAATGAATTATGATTGGAAAAAAATAGCTGGGCGGTGGTGGCGCACGCCTATAATCCCAGCACTTGGGAGGCAGAAGCAGGCGGATTTCTGAGTTCGAGGCCAGCCTGGTCTACAGAGTGAGTTCCAGAACAGCCAGGGCTACACAGAGAAACCCTGTCTCGAAAAACCAAAAACCAAAA